CGCAGGAAATGTGAGTATCCGAGCTTATGAGTATGTTTTATTGATGAAAGGATTCGCCGCTGTCTATCAGGGTTTATATTAGGGAAGAGTCATCCAAACAATGGTAGAGAAAGACGCCCGGCTAGCAGGAGTCGACAAGGAAATGAGTAAACCTGAGACCACCCGCATGAAAAGAGAATGACTAAATCAACTTTTGGCGCTCCTCTGGCCAGCTACACTGCATTAGCACCAACCAGACGAGATACAATACAACAGCAATTGCTGTCTAGTGCTTTTAAGAGAAAAGGAAACAGGTTGAAATGATTGCCAGGATCGTTCTATTCATAACCAGAAGAGAATAGATGAAAAACAGAGACCAGGAGAAAACCACAGAATATGAAAGAGATAGAGTGTTTACTAATATCTCCAACCCATGGCAACCCCGGAAGATGCACGTGGGGTATGGACATGCAAGAAAGATCAAAACTCGAAACAAGAGGCTATACTTCCTCGGGATTAAGAAGAACGGTTTTGCTGCATTCGAAGGATTATATACCTACCCTTCGACTAGATGGATGTTACATGGTGCTTTTAAATAACAAGTGCAAACAACCTAATCAAGAGGGATGCCCTGGTATTCGCCGTAGCCGAGGGCAAGGTTCATGTTCTCTGTACACGGATTGTTAGCATGGTTCTTTCGATCAGGAGAGCCATCGGTATAGGGCTACTTACGCAGACATTGAGTGGCAGCGCCCTTGAGCAGGTTATCAATGGTAGCACACACAACAACACGCTTGCCGCTGGAGTGAACAGCAAAGCCGCCAACCTCAACACCGTGGCGTCCGGCAATGTTCTTCACCAGAGGAGGCTCGCCAACGATCTTGACGAGCTTCTCACCGGCGTAGCGCTCCTGGTAAATGTTACGGATATCGCGAGAAGTCAACTCCTCCTTGAGGGGAATGCTGATGGTTTGCTGTGACAGAATTAGTTGACAACGAAGGAACAAAAGTAGGTAGGAGCTAAACGTACGTGGATACCCTGGAACCAGACCGCGACGTGGGGGATGAAAGCGATGCTGGCGCCAAGTTGCGAGCTGATCTCCTTCTCGTGGATGTGATCAGTCAAGCTGTAGGGAATAATGTTGTTCGTAAGGTTGTCGACGTCGTTCTTAGGGCTGGGTTTGGTGCCAGCACCAGAGTAGCCGGAAACGCCGAAGACAGTGGGTTGTCCACCGAGGTATGGGACAAGAGGAGCGATTCCAACCTGAGCAGCAGTCGCGTAGCATCCAGGGTTGGCGATACGAGTGGCCTGGGCGATCTTGGAACGGCTGACCAGCTCAGGAAGACCGTAGGTCCACTTCTCATCAAAGCGATAGTCGGCACTGAGATCGATAATCACGTTGCCGGTCTCGGAACCCTGATCCACAGCATCAACAAAAGGCTTGCAGACGCCGTTAGGGAGAGCCATGACCCAGCAGTCAACATCACCGTTGGCAGACATGCGCTTGACATCATCGGGGCTGAGGTTCTCGTAGATAATCTCACGCTTGTCATAACCCTGCAACTTCTTGCCAGCCAGCTCACGAGAAGAAACATGACGCAGGTCCAAGTGAGGGTGAGCGTTGATCAGGTTGATTAAAGCCTGGCCAGTGTAACCGCGGGCTCCAATCAGAGCAACCTTGGAAGGGCGGGTGTTGGACATGTTCTTCTCTCCAAGAGGGGGGTTGGGGTTGGTAGTAGCGTAAGTCCTGAAAGCCTGCACAGGAACGGTAGGGCGAGTCGAACGAGCAGCGCGGAGAGCGTTGCTGGTCGAGGAGAATGCACGTCTTTGCTCAGTAGAAGCACCGCTAGCACCGAAGCCCTTTCCGATGTGGGTGGCGGCCTGGGCAGCACGATGCAAGCGCGATTCGAGGTTAATGTCTCCAAACATCTGGCGACCGTGCTCGTTGAATTCCTGAACAAGCTGCTTGACCTCCTCGCCGCTCTCAACCCCGTACCAGAAGAGAACTTCTCCCTCACGGCTGAGGCTGCCATCGGCCTTGTCGAAGAACCAAGTCAGGTTCTCATCGTCCTCCTTCACGGTCCAGACAAGCTTAGGGAACTCCTTCTTGATGGCGGCGAAGACGTTGTCAGCGACGTTGGTGAGCCAGCCGGACTTGGTGATGGTGAAAGTAGCCAAGTGTGCCAGAGAAGAGGTGGCATCTTTCTGAGGGGGCAACACAACAGCGAGCGCATTCATGGGCTCATCGTAATAAGCCTTGAACTCGCGCTCCTTCAAGCCCTCAACATAGCGATCGACAGTAGCGCGGGCGTCCAAGCCCTCACGATCGCGAACAAGGACATCCTTGAGCTTGTCCAGATCCTCAAACTCGGACAGGGAGGTCTTGGTGTGGACCTTGTTGCCTCTGCGAATCAATGTACCGGCTCCAGAGTCGGTGAAGAGTTCCTTTTGCAAGTCGGCGGGGTGGATGATAGCAACGCTAGAAGTGCGGGGAAGGTCGCTAAGGAGATCCTTCATTTCCTTGATCTTCAGGCGAGTACCATGACGCACCCACCACTGAGTCATCAGATGATCATACTCCTCGTCGAGGTTGATCACGGAGATCTTCTCGCCAGTGTCACCGTTAAACAAGCCACCCTTCTCCGCCAAGTAGACGATCTTGAGGGGCTGAAGGGCACGCGCAAGCTCACCAGCCGCGACATCAGCATTGACGTTCAAGACTTGACCATCGGGAGTCTCGGCCATGGAGGTGAGGATGGGAAGGCAGCCAGCCTCAATGGCAGACTCAATGGGCTTCTTGTTGACGCCGTTGATCTTTCCGACCAAATTGTACTTCTCCTTGTCCAGGTAGTCGGCGGTGAAGACGCCGGCATTGAGCGGGCGGGCCCGAACACCCATGCGCTCCAACTCCTCAATCAGCTTGAGGTTCTCCTCAAGGAACAGCTTTCTAGCCAGAGCCAGGGTCTTTCCGTCCGTCACGCGGATTCCATCCTCGAATTGGGGCTCCACTCCAGCATCCTCGAGCATGCGATTGAGCTGAGGACCAGCGCCATGGACAACGATGGGGTAGAGGCCAACGTGGTTCAGGAAAGCGAGGGCGGAGGAGAGAGTCTGAAGGTGTTCGGTGATGATAGCGCCGCCAACCTTAATGACGGCAAATTGCTGCTGGGAGACGGAGGTGAAGTGGGAGAGGTACTGCTGAACCTCCCGCTTGGAGCCGATGTTGCTCAGCAACTGAACGACCGTGGAGCGGGTGGAAGAAAGCTGAGGATCGGTAGCACGAGAGTATTGACGCCCTTGCAACAATGGAACGGCAGAAGCTTTGAGTGAGTGGCGAGCAGAGGGGGAGCCGATTCTGGCGCGAGAGACGGCGAGCGGTGCGGAGAGCGCGCGGAGGGGCTTGCTGGGGGAAGCTCTCCGCACGGCAGTGCGAAGGGAGAACATCTTGCCAGCCAACATGCGGCAGCTTTTGCGCCTACTCGAACAGAAAGGTAGAGGGGAGGGGAGGAAAGCCCGAAAGTATGAATGAAGCTGTTAATTCTCAAAGAAGATTGTTCGAGGGAGGAGGAAGGAGGGAGGGGGGAGGAGAAGGAGGAGGAGAAAAGTGACAAGGAAGAATGAGTTAAAAGGTTGGTTGTGTGGAGGGAACCAATTCGGGTGCAGCCAGGGAATTTGCCGCAGGCTCTAAAGAGTTTTGATGGTCGAGATGGTAATAGTGATGATCGGCTACTTGTCGGAGCGGGCGTCTTCCATTTTCTGCAATCGGCCGGAAACCTACTCTTGACTCACGCAGGTTGGTAAGTAGTCAGTAGTTGGGTTAGTTGAGTCAGTGCCCACCTCCTTGCAAGTACTAAGATAAAAGAGTTACATTTACATCAACTCGCGAACGAACCCCCTTCCTACGTCCCCCCTTTATACTTGTCTTTCCCTACAACCATTGCAGGAAAGTCCTAATCTTTGGGTAAGCTCGGAATTGAGGGAAATTCGAACGAGCCAGTGGAATAAATTGCGCAGGGAAGCGACGCCGCACAACTGCCCGAACAACTTGCCCTTGGCCCTGCCCTGCCCTGCGTGCGTGCGCGCTGCCACCGCGCGACTGCGACTTTCGGAGCTCCTCTTCCCAGCATGACTCACCACATCATTGATATTAGGTGAACGAACTGATTGATCCAAGATTGAACTACGGATACGGCAAGGTCTCCATTCTGGTTCCCATGAAATTATCATAGACAACTTGAAAGTTCCAGCAGTTCCAGCAGTCCCAGCAGTCCCAGCAATCAGAGGCTCTCAGCACTATACTATACACCTAGCAATCCACTCCTCCCCCCCCCCCTCCAACATCCCAGGCTTGCTGGCAATGCTTGCCCTCCCGGTATCCATCCCCACACGTAATGAAAATTGCAAAATGGAGTCTTGAAACGTCCCGGATCAATTTCCATCATACAATAATAATTCCTGGGAATCGTTATCTGATCTTACTAGCCACCCACTCCCCTCTCCCTAGCGAATCATTACCATCAATGGTCTCTGGAGGCTGGAGCCACTGCCCCAGCGCACTTCCCTTTTCAAGTGCCATCTCCATCAGTGTCTCTCAGACTCTGGTTCTCTTTCGTTATCTGATCCTCCCTTAACCGAACACACCTCCTAGGCTGGTCACTGGCCACCTGTCCTTCATTATGGATACTTTTCTTATTGTATGGTCCACAGCACTCCGTCCCCGCCAAAGCTCTTTCTCCGTCACTTCGGAATCACGTGTAGGTGGCGCGATTCGGGATCTTTCAGGTTAAACAGGCTAGATCTGCCATTGCATTTTTTTTTTGAGAATTCTTGGAACAATTTTCATAAGGAATTTATTGTTGACATTCAGAGGCTAAAGAACGAAGGACAAGCAGCAACACAACATCAGGCATACCCATAAGGGTAGCACAGGAAAAGAAGTGAGAAAAGACAAAGCGCACTGATATACTAGGACATGAGCGAGCACCAGAGTATCATTTACATCTTCACAGTCGATGGATTCATGTGGCATAGCCTCGAGACCCCAGAGCAGCCCATGACGTCAATGGTGCGGCGAGGCAAGAAGACTTCATTCGTGAGAACAGGGATAGTTCGACGCCCGAGAAAAAGCAAGAGGTATTAGTAGCTGGAAACAAAAGCTTCACGGGCACAACACAGATAAACCAGGACCAAGTGAAAAAGAAGAAAAACGTCATCCATTCCCAAGACAATCATGACTGTCGCTGCGTTCGTAACTTATTTTCTGGTGGTGATCACTGTGGTTGAAATTAAGGGTTAGCGCGCATCCGGAAACCAATTGCCGAGTGGAGGACGGATCGAGGATATAGATGTAAATCTTACCAGTAGGAACGATAATCACTACAAGCAAAACGATGACACAGATGATCAAGCATACGCGCATCTTCATGTCTTTCCACCACATCTGTTTTCTCACCCGATTGGCGCCACGGCGGAAGCCCTGGGCTGATACTGCCAGATTATCGGTTTTGTCCTGGAGCGAGTCAAGGCGCTCGCCACGCTCTGAGACCTTGAAGATGTTTGAGCGCATTGTGTCGACGGTTTCTTGGATTTTCTGTTGGAGCAAGCAGGCTCGTCAGTCAGACAGTTCATTCGACAGCTTGCAGTAGTCCGTCAGAGCAGATGGTATGCCCAAACTAAGGCAGTAACCGCATCTTCTTGATGCAAAACACTATGCAAGCGCTCCCCAAGTACGCTCTTGAAGCACATTATATGGAAAAGGGGCCCATCGCTAACTCACCTTGTCGATCTCCCTCGTCCGAGGGTCGCCATTTTGCGCAGCGGTAGCGCTGGGTCCGTTGGATCCAGACGGAATGTAAGGGTCATAAGGCTGCTCAGACATGACTGCGATGCGCGATGTTCTCGATTTGTGTGTAGAGGACAAGACGTCGGGTCTGGTAGATCACCAAATTGCGGTGTTGAGATTGATGAGCTCTTTTGTTTGTTCCTTCCGCAGGGGGTGAGGTGGAAGTCGTAGCAACAAGTCCAGCAGGTCGGCGTGCAGTCGTCTGGTGAGAATGAGAAATCAACTGCTTAATCGTGAAAAAGTGATTAGATTGTGAAATGATTGATGTAGTAGTGGAGTAAGGTGGATGTGTTGCTGGAGGGAAGCTGACAAGGTGTGATGAATCGCCGCCCGCTGTCTGGAGATTACAGGCGTTTCGGGTCGGTCGGGGGGGCGGGCGCAACACGTGACCAAGCATTGGCTGGGAAAGACAGCCCGCCTCGCAGGCAGCTATTTTTATGCTAGAATGGATTCGAACCCAGCGCCCATGGAACAAAGAAATCGCAAGAAGCGTGTGGTATTACAGTAATATGGTGTTTTCTCAAATGGTTTGCGACTCTGCGAGAGGCCACATGCATATGCGACCTACTAGCCGACCACCTATCCAAACAGAAACCAAACACAGCTGCTGTGACAGATCTAGTTTACATACATGACATGCCACCGACTGGCTGTCTCTACGAGAATGGATCATACATAGGCTTCCATTGAGTCCCAGATTCGAACACAGAGACGGCATCTTCCCGCCAAAGTGGCCCATTGGGCATCAGAAGTACGCCAATTGTCATGCCAAGTCATGTGTTGCTAAAGGAACGGAGGAGGCTGGAGCACCGTCCGTACCTTCAGCCTAGTGGCTATGCAGTGTTTCGCCCGCTGTCGGCTTCACGTGGCGATCCCTCGCGCTTGAGTCCGAATCTGGAATAGACCGTGGACCCTACCAATCACTTGAGTATGTTAATCCTCAATAACGGTTGTTGAGATCTCGCATCATCGTCATCAATTCAAACACCTATGGGTAGGTATTCTTCGCAAGAATGCAAATCATAGTAGACATGCTGGGGATGTAGCACGAGTTATGAAATACGTCACGTTCCAGCACAACATATCCTGCTGCATCGCCAGGTGTTCACTGGCATATACCCCCGGTCGAAAAGCATACGTACTTGTCCTGCAGACAGATATGTACTGTACTGTACTGTACTGTACATGCGTCACCTGAGGGATACATGATACTGATTAGGTGCTGCGTGTCAAGCCACAACATGTAACCATGCCATCAAAAGAAAGAGCGGATCCGTGTCTAATATCCCGAAGAATAGCTACGCTGATCTGGGAGCGTCTCGTAGACATTTGTAATATTGATCAATTCATTGTAGCTAGGGCCTTATACAATGTCCCAAGTTATGAGGTAACCCTGAAATGCCCTGCTGATATCAATTTCGTGAAATGGAGCTATTGTACCAATCCGCACCAACAATACAGCAAAGCACAACATTGATGAGATCCCTCTACAACTGCTAGTGGTCGCCGTAGTCTTCCTTAGTCCGATCCTGATCTCAACTTCAGAATCACCAAAAGAATACAGATAGAGTGGATTTCCTTTCAGCCGTTCACACATTAATGAAATGAAATATAATACAATATCACCCACGTAACTCCTCACACGCCTGAGTCCACGACGATTCGAGAGACTGCTTTTCACTTTCCCCAAGTTTTTCTGGTATGGGGTATAAATACATGGCCTTGTTGATAAGAGGAGAAGAAGGCACTTGTCGTTTCACCAAAAACGACCGAGAGCCGGAGGTTTCATGATAGATCTTGGCTCCGTACTGATTTCCTCTTTGCCTCCTATTTCCCACCAAGCAACTCCTTCCGCATTTCTTCTCTTTGCGCCTTGGCGTCTTCCTTTGCCCGTGTGTTTTGTGTTTGCGTCTCTAAGCGTCTCTGTTCCTGTTGTTCTTGAGCGGCGATCCAAACTGTGCAACAAGAGGTGTCAGCAGGCCGCACAACAATGATCTGTCATTCAGCATTAAGATAAAGAAAGATCTGAACATACTATGCTTGTCAGACTTGGACCACTCCTTCAACTTGGTAACGTATTCATCGAAATCCCGTGCTCGTCGGTCACCCTCTTCCAGACTGCGTTTCTGAAGGTCGGGGTTGTAGCGCTTGAACAATTCTTCGTCCGTGGGCCGGATGTATTGCACGAAGGCCGGGCCTCCCACGCAGCAAACAACGCCGCTATTAACCGTCAGAAGCTAGTCTAGACACAGTTGAAGTGTTGCGCTTGGGAAACCAGCTTACACTCCCAGCATCTTCAGCCAAGTTCCTGCACGAGACATGATGGCAAAGCGTTCGGAGGATGACTATCCGTCTTGAGCGATGATGTCAGATTGTTAGGCTTTCGGGGTAGAAGGGTGCGGAGATGTCGAGATCGCGAGACACTCCTCAAGCTATGTGAAATTGTTTGCGTTTTTCGATATGTTTCTTCTGGATTGAGCATCAATCCATCGTCATCCGCACGCGCGGGTTTCGGCAGACAGAGAGCGTGTGGCGCAGTTTTGAGGCTAGTGCTCGTGGCTCAGTATGTGGCTGTGTCATTATCCGCCAATCGCGATATAGAATTACACACCCATCGATAGCAGGTTTTATGCACTGTGATTTGCTACCAAAACAATTGAACCCATGGAGAGGTGTCCTTGCTGCTCCACTTGGTATGCGGTTAATTGCCTTATGCCCTCATGCCTCATGCTCTGCGAGTCTGCGACACACATTCTGTAGTATGGTACAGCAGGTTCCAGTTGTGGTGTCATGTTCTGGCAGGAAAGTATCCCGCATCCGCATCCTTGACACTCCAATGTCTTAGACATCTCTTTTCCATGTATCTATTTTTAAGCATCAGGCCTTAGGCATATCATCATATGAACTTTTGATACATGATTATCATTATACATTTCGATTTCTAGTGCAAGTTTACCTTTGGTTGCCGCAAGCGCAAGATCAGAGCCAAAAACTTACTAAGTGTGATTTGAGCAGGGATAAATGCCGATAGTATGAAGATCATCTCCAGATCATCACCACAGTCACTAAGCTACATAACTGTGCTGGATGATCACTGTAGACAGGCCAAGGGTTGAGGAAATCTGGCGCCTGTGCCTTATGGCACTGATGGGGATTCTCTCAATTGGGCGTCAAAATTTGTGAAGAAACCGGTGCCACAGGATAGCAAGCGGAAAGGCTAATAGAAGAAGCGTGAGCCCGACTACACTCCAGACGGAGACTTGTGCCGGGGCTTTTGGATAGAGTATGGTAAACCAATCGCTCTGCTGGGGACAGGCGCAGTGGAGCAAAGGCACTTCTCACCGCCCTGTCTGTGGTTCTTTGCTGCCGCCTGAGGCTCGGCACGATCTGCTTGATGTTGAAAGCATCGACCCCTGACGATCGATGGTGCATTTTGCTCTTCGATTCGGGATCATTTCAGGGATCACTGTGACATGCGTTGATGGTTGTGGGCTTAGGATTGGATGTGCCCTTAAGGAGTGCTCGGGGTCACTCGATGCCGTTGTCGGGACTATGTGTACCGTGACCTAATATTTTTTTTTCCCTTCTTCGGACCGACTCAAACGTCACACTTGTAGTTTGGTCCCTTGGTTAGCGCCATGCCAAGAAGTCATTGCACCCCAATCTTGCGGATTCGGTGACCATCAAAAAGAAGACCAACAACAACAACCGACTTTCCGACGCTGCCGAGACAACGCCCGCCCTTAAGCGCGCGAAGGGCCCGAATGACATGAGAGAAAGGAGCAGTCATCGTCCGCCATAACCTAGGGAGGGAGCAGGGACAGGCTCTGGCTCAGTGAGTGGGACATGAGCGCGAGTATTGGCGGAACGAACGTGGGTCTTTCAAAGGAGGGAGAACTGTTCCCCAGCGTCAGCGTCAGGTGCCGGTCCGCGTGAAACAAATCAGCTATGCGAGAAGAGTGGACTGCTATGTAAATTAAAGGAGAGGAGGGATAATAGATCCAAAGGGGGTAGAAAAAATAAAATAAAATGGATGATGGATCATAAAAATCATGCAAAGTCCTTTTCTATTTCCTTGCTCATTCTTTTTTCCTTCTCTCTGAGCGCTATCTTTGTTGCTAATCACCCCAGATAGAGATAGTGTCGTTGTCTAAATTACCGCCGCGGGCCATAGTCTTCCCCTCTTTCTTGGGCTGTCTTTTTTCCCTCCACTCAACTGCTTCACTTGCGCGACTCGCGACCGCACCTCCTCCTCTACCTCCTCCTCTTCGTTTCTGTGCGCTTGCTGCCTCCTGCTGGCTCACTCTTGGGGGTCACGCCCGTTCTTTAGAGTTGACCGTTCCTTTCCCTTCATTGATTGTGTTCTTGGCCCTGGATCCTCTCGGAAACAGCCCACTTACATACTTTGAAGCAGGCGACATTCATTGCTCGTGTTCTGGGTGAGTTAGGCTGGCTTTGCGCATTCGTGCTCGCCGCGTTTGCAATCCTTTGCGCCCATGGCTTCCCCACTGACATTGCCTCCCGTCTCAATGAAGGCCGACTCGACTCCTATCGCGCGCGCGCCCATTTGGATCCAATGATCGTACATCTCACATGGAACTCTTAAATATTCTATTGGAATGATTTTCGTGCAGACCTAGCTTTGAGTAAGCCACGCGCCCCTATTGAGACCTATGCAAGGCTTTACAGCACAAAGTCGCTCCGGTTCCTCCTACTAACTAGATCTTGCAGCTTGGCTAGACAGACAGAGAGACAAACAATTCGGTCCAATCAATTCAAGCCTGCGGAATATAACTGTCGCTACCCCTTGCGAACAAAGAACACGCGTCTCCCACTCGCCTCGCACATTCACTTCCGCTCGCTTCCTTGTGTGTACATCAGAGTGTGTCATGGCATATCAGCAGCGTCCAGTACAGAGGGCTCCGCCTGTACGAAACTACGGGGGCCCTCAGCCTGCCCCCAGTGGGAGGGGCTATCCGCCACAAGATGGGTACCCTGAGAGTCGCTATGATAACAACTACCGTGGCTTTCCCAATGGGGGTCACGACAACCACGGATATGGATATGCTGGCGAAGGTGCAGTTCCGAGGTCATATGGACATGGGCCACCGCCCCGCGGCGCCCCGCGCGGTGGTTACGGCCCCCCGAGGGATGACCGAAGCCATGCATATCGTGGCGGCCCACCACCGCAAGGGTATGATGGTCGCCGTGGCTCCGAGGATCAGATCCCACCTCCAAGACAGGATCGTATCAGACTGCGTGAGTATTCACATTCTATCCGCCCGGCGCACGTGCTCATCATCTCTCGATTCAGCCGGACGTCCCCCGCAACCTCCCAGCATCAACACCTCGTTTACCGCCCAAGACCAGCGTGGACCGGTAGCTCTTGAGAGCGGGATGGCCGCTATGAGTCTCAGTGGCGGCCCAGCAGTACCTACACAGATTCCGGATCGCCCGCATACTTCTCATGCCAAACGGCCTACCCATCCCATGTCTCCAGGTAGAAGTAGGAGCATCACTCCAGGGACACCAGCGAGGTCCGCCAGCACAGGTCGCCCGTCTCCGGGCTCTTTTGAAAACGGACCATATACGGACCCACAGGAACCGCCCCCGGTGCCCCATATAAACAGGAGCGCGACCATGCCTGTCTCCTCGCCGGCGCAAAGCATACCTCCCAAGCCACTGTACCCAGGACAGGCGACTTATCAAGAGGCCAACTACGCAGCCCCACAAGGACCCCATGAACGGTTTGACACCGCGGCATGGGTGGATAGCTATTACAATCGCAAACAGGCGGAGGAGCCTGATATGCCCAATTTCGATGCTATGCCTGATCCTGCCAAAGGCGGTATTATTGATGAAAGCTTACCTGGTCTGGAACAGCCGCAGGTCAAGCCATCCATTGCATCGCCTACTACATATCAGGCCCAGTACGCCGCTTTCAATCCGCAAGCGGCAAGCGATCCTTACGCGCATCCTCAATCTGTTCCGCGGGGAGGGCCTGCGCCCAATCAATTCGCAAATGCAGGTTTTCAGTTTGATTTGCCCGGGGGTGAAGGACCCCCTGGTGCACATCATCACGAGGAGGCAGGTTATGTATATAACGCAGATCCCTATGAAGACCCATATATGCAACGAAGCGATAATTGGAGCCCTCCTGGACCGGCGCATGCGGAAGGTGCAGCAGACTACGCTACCAGAGACACTCCTCCTTACAGCAATGGACAATCTCAACCATATAGAGCTGTTGATGACTACAGTCCACCCATCAATCAACCCGAAATGCTTGATGATCAGCAGAATCCGGATGCTCTTCCACACCACCCTATTCCGTTCCGGCCCGGCCTTGAGCAGGCAGCCAAGCCTGCGCCAATGCGCCAATACGAGAGCATCGGCAGCTCAAAGTCTCCGCCGGCAGCACCGCAAGGTCCACCGGCTGAATCGGCTCTATCTGGTCCGGTGACACAAGGTGAGCTGCAGCGCCTACAGCAGATGGTCAAGGCGAAACCCAATGACCGCAAGACCCAGCTGCTTTTTGCGCAAAAGCTGGTCGAGGCCTCGACTGTTCTGGTTGATGCTAGTCGGATGGATCCGAAGACGAAAGCAAAGGCCCGAGAAAAGTACACCATGGACGGTTATAAGATTGTTAAAAAGTTGGTTTCGGCCGGATACGCCGATGCACAGTTCTATCTGGCCGACTGCTACGGTCAGGGCCAGATGGGTCTACAGGTTGACCCTAAGGAAGCCTTCGGTTTATACTATGCTGCTGCGAAGCAAGGACATGCCCAGTCGGCGTACCGTGTTGCAGTTTGTTGTGAGATAGGTCAAGAGGAGGGTGGCGGCACTAAGAGAGACCCGTTCAAGGCTGTTCAATGGTATAAACGTGCAGCAGCCCTTGGTGACCCGCCCGCGATGTATAAGATGGGAATGATCCTACTGAAGGGTCTACTAGGCCAGGCTAAAAACCCGCGTGAAGGAGTTGCCTGGCTTAAGCGTGCAGCCGACCGCGCTGACGCAGAAAATCCCCATGCTCTCCATGAATTAGCATTGATGTATGCGAACGGAGGAAACGATGTGGTTGCACGCGACGAAGCCTACGCAAGCCAGTTGTTCCATCAAGCCGCAGAATTAGGGTATAAATTCTCCCAATTCTACCTGGGCAATGCGTATGAGTATGGCCTGATGGGCTGTCCTGTGGATCCCCGACAGAGTATCATATACTACACACATGCTGCTGCGCAAGGAGAACATCAGAGCGAACTGGCCCTGAGTGGGTGGTATTTGACTGGCGGGGAGGGGATTCTGCAACAGAGTGATACGGAAGCGTATCTTTGGGCTCGCAAGGCCGCCACTGCCGGCCTTGCCAAGGCTGAGTACGCGATGGGGTACTTCACTGAAGTTGGAATTGGCGTTGTCGCAAACTTGGATGACGCAAAACGATGGTATTGGCGCGCAGCTGGTTAGTACTGCCCCTGGCATAACTGTGATTGATACTGACACTTCTCTCGTCGCTTAGCGCAAGGATTTCCTAAGGCTCGTGAACGTCTTGAGGAGATTAAGCAGGGTGGAGCTCGTATGCAGAAGACCCGTCTTTCTCGGTCTGCCGTCAATCAGCAGAAGCAGAATGACGGAGACTGTGTTCTGATGTGAATCATCCACATATATATTATTTTTCTTGGGTCGAATTTTCCATTTACTGATATGAAGACTTACATCATTTTAATCGTTTGATACGATATGTCATAGCACGTGCCCAAAGCGCCTCGTCTGGATCCGGGGGCTTTTTACATACTAATCACTTTTCTTTGCTGAAGACGCATTGGCTATGGTTTGGGTAATCTGCACTTGGGCCTATCTCTTTTCTCTTTCTTGATTCCCCCAATGCATTTCCATTTGCGACAAGCGTGTCAGCATAGTTGAGGCTTCTCAGTTATGCGATTTGCTCCAGCAGCTTGTTTTCATCATGTCTTTAAACGCAAGTAAAGTAATACTATAACAACATAATACTACGATTTCAACCTAAATGTCCAAAGATGGGACAGACATGCAAAGCACTTCCGGTGTTCTCGACTAAGCACCTTGTTAAGCACTTTCTCACTTGGTTCCGATTTACGATGCGGGCTTAGTCATTTACACACCGAGTCAAGATTACTTGTCAAGACTCATATTCAAGTATAAGAGAATCGGAACCCAGGGTTCAAAGTCGTGCAACATACAATATATTTTTGTCCATCTATGCATGCAGACTGAGGCAATTCCCGAGGAAGGGGGGGGGGGGAGCGGGGTAATTCCGCACTCCCGACTGAGGGATTGGTCACCACCCGATCGGATGCGCTTTGGATTAGCAAGATCGGCTCTCGCATGTTCCAAGTTCCAGGTACAAGTACCAGTTTTGAAATCACGCCCAATTTGCATCTTCCTATTGGTGGTTTGATCTTGAACTCCTGCAGAACCAGTTGCATTGCTTATGAAAATCTCCCCAGAAAGGGACCCTGAACACCTTCTTGCGTGCTTTTTACTACTTACTACCTGATAGACCGGAAGCTATCTTCTCTTAAGCATCTATATATGTCTCCCACCACACCCGCGCCTGCAGACCAACCAACCCACCGCAAACCCTCAACCATCGCATTGATATCTTTGCTTGCCCTTCTCCTAGCCGTAGCTATCACCCGCTTCGCGAACTCGGGCGCATCCACCACCAATCCAAGCTCTCAAAGTACTACTGCCAAACCCCCAACCGCCAACCTGGATCATCTCCGTCGCTTCTTCAGCTCACCTGTCGCCTCCGCAGTAGGCCGATCTACGCTTGTGTCCACCATGTCGAAAACGCCGGTGTATTTTTTGAGTCATGGGGGTGTACGTTCGGCTTTCCCCCATTGTCAAAGACGCGGAATACTAACTCACTCGTGTGGGTAGCCGAATATCATGTACGATCATCAGCACCCGGCGTACCACAAGCTGGGGGAGATCGGACGGGAGATCACGACGAAAGTGAAGCCGCGGGCGGTGGTGGTTTTCTCGGCCCACTGGCAAGGGAAACGGGATACGATCCAGGTGAACACGGCGGAGATCACGGAGTTGATTTATGAGTATGTCCTTTCCTTGCATTTCCGATTGTTGCGATATGGGGATGGCAGGCTACGAGTGAATGAACGGGTGGAGAAACGATTACTGACGCGCAGAATCCCCTTTTTAAAGCTTCTATGGGTTTCCGAGCCATTACTACAAGGAGAAATATCCGAACGTTGGAAGTAAGGAGATTGCGGAGAAGGTGCTGAGTGCGCTGGGCGAGGCGGGAATCAAGGCTGAAGGGGTGAAGAGGGGGCTGGATCACGGCGTGTGGGCCAGTTTTAAGTGTGGTAAGTTCCTTCTTCTCTGATGATGTTGGAGGCCAGGGAGAGGGGCAATAGAGGCCTGCTAACATTGTTCCGTTCATAGCCTTTGAGCCCGAGAAGAACCCGTTAAATGTCCCTATTGTGCAGGTCTCGCTGTTCGATACGGAAGACCCCGTTCAGCACTACCGACTTGGCCAGGCGGTGTCGAAGCTTCGTGAGGAGAACATCCTGATCATTGTCTCCGGGATGGCCGTTCACAATCTGCGGGACCTGCAGTTCTCCTTTGGTGACCCGCGGCCGTTGCCTTATACCGCCAGCTTCGACGAGGCTCTTAAGGATGCGGCCACTGCCAAGCCGGCGGAGAGGGAGCAGGCTTTGGTGGATCTGCTGAAGCGGCCCGATGCCCGCAAGGCGCATCCGACCTTTGACCATCTGCTCCCCATTCATATCGGAGCTGGTGCGGCCGGGGACGACAAAGGGAGGCGCTTGTGGACCCTGAAGGAAGGAAGTATGAGCTGGGCGCAATATAGATTTGGCGAGATCGCCAATAATACTAGCTCGCTGTAGTTTGTTGATAAACCAGGTAAATCAATAGATGTTCAGATTTTTAATAGGTTCGGTATTTTTTTTGGGCGGTTCGCGGCGAGAATTGGGTTTTCAGATTCATCTATAGGTACAGCGCAGAGGAAGAAGGCAGAAACATGGTTGCATGAAGATATATGGGCGCAATAAATAGGACTGATTATGAAGACGCCTTCACCAATTGGGTAATCTTCTCTTCAACCTGCTGGTCCGTCAAGCCTATATTGCAGCGATTTCCGTCAGTTATCGCATTTTGCGAGTCAAGGTTGATCTCGAAAGGTCTTACCGGTCAAAGCTTCCTGCTTCTCTCTTCCGAGCTCTGCATATGCTAGTTAGCTCACGTCTGAGCGGGGTTGTCCACGATAGGTGATCATCAGGCCATACCGTATCTAGCGTACACTCTGGGCACAGTACCAGCTGCCTCGCGCATCAAAATAGGAGTGGAGGGGTTGTGCTTCTTCATGGTGGGATAGGCGCGCTGCAGGAACGACCTAAGGCAAACAATCCAGCTTCATCAGCAATTGGGCCCGAACAACACATTCTGATTATTGCGCGCGAGTCGACTAACCGAGTAGCAGCACTCTCCTGAGAGGTCTGGCAGAAAAGGAAGCGCAGCTCCTTCAGACCCTTAGTGAAGGCGTACTTAGAGGACATTGTGAAGTGGTGACGGATCGCGAAGGGCGGGATGGGTCGGGAACACGCGGGAAAGACCGTCAGACTAACTGGGCGCCCGTTAGTATTGACTCTGGTTAACTCGGAGAGTTGCAATTAGGGATGGGGGGGGGATAAAAACTGACAATGCGTGCTGGAAGCTCTAATCGAGGAGTTACCGACAAACTGATTCCCAGAGTGAGGTTCTGAGAGGGACCCCGGCAGAACCAATCCAGTCAAGCGTGATTGTCACCGCTTACCTCAGCCGGAAAAGAGCCGCAACCTCAACAGGCTTGAGGCCGACGTCGGGGCCTTTTGACGGAGCGCTTCATCTCAACGACCTTGTGTCTATCTTTACCTACAATCTCGAATTTCCTGACCCTTCGTTCTACGTCTGGTCATTGCTATCAAGAGGGTTTCTTCTTCTCCTTGCGCCACTTGCCTCTCTACGCTCTCTTTCCCTGGGTCCCGCCCGACACTCTCCGCTCTCACCCTTCCGAACTCCCCATAACACACACCTTCGCCCGCCGCGCTCGGTCTACGTTCATATCAAAAGCCTTCACAATGTCGTCCCGTGTCGGTCTCCGCTTTTTCCAGAACTCTCGCGCTGCTTTCCGCAATGCATATGGCTCCTTCCGTCGGCCTGGCGGCCAGGGTTTCCGGTTCCAGAGCTCAGATGCCGCCGCCGCCGAGCAACAGAGCACTTTCCAGCGTCTATGGAACAGCCCGGTCGGTGTGAAGACGGTGCATTTCTGGTGAGCTTAAAGCTTCTGAGGGTTCTGACTTGCACTACTCGTGCGGTGCAATTGATTTGGGAGGTCAAGAGCCAAGCTAACACGAGACGATCGCTAGGGCCCCGGTTATGAAGGTATGTGACAACGAGAAAAATAAACCTCTCGTCGGCGTCACCTATTCGCGCTATACCCAAATCTACAATGGTTCATCACTGACTCTGTCCGCTCCAGTGGGCTCTCGTCATTGCCGGTATCTCCGATCTTAGCCGTCCTGCTGAGAAGCTCTCCTTGACCCAGAACGGTGCTCTGATGGCCACCGGTGCTATCTGGACTCGCTGGTGTATGATCATTACTCCCAAGAACTACCTGTACGTCTATCTCTACAATCGGCGGTTCCTCTCTGCGATGTTGGAGTCAATATGATTGACTAATCTGATGTCCAGGCTTGCTGCTGTCAACTTCTTCCTTGGTATCGTCGGTGTCGTCCAGGTCACCCGTATCGTTCAGTACCGCCGTAGCTTGGATGGCTCTACCACGGAGGCTGTGAAGGATCTGGAGAAGGAAGTGATTGATGATGCCAAGGCTGTTGCTGCTACCGCCGAAGCCGCTGTCAAGAAGTCGGCTTAAATGTCCCTTTCTGGGCGACCGAGAAGGGGGTTTGATCATGTAAGCTGAACACTCCATCAAAATTAGATTAGACTCCTTTCCTCTCTTCGGAACATGGTATTGTCGGTGTACCACTCGGATGGTCTAAAGAGCAGCGACCGTGGAGGCGCGGAGGAATCCCGCTAGGACTTTTTTCCTTTTACCAATTTGCGCATGTATATATTCCCATTGACTAGAATGAAAGATTTGAAGCTGAAGAGCGATTTCAACAAGCCATGCAAATACAGCCGACGGTGCACTGCTGCAAAGTGGAAGGAGGAAAATATGACTCGATTGATCATGTGTTGTTGCTTCTGTCTGCGCCGGCGAACAGCTCAGTGATATCTGGCTTGAGACAATGTAGCGGTCTGAAGTAACCTGCGCAAAGCTATTCCCAAAGATGGGGAATAGAGAGGTAGAGCTGGTCACCTGAGTGGATGTCATATGTTTTGCTCTCCTCCACTTTTCATTTCCCCCTCTTCATACCTCCATCTGCTCATCTCCACCAGCTTATTCTTATCACATACCGAGAAAGTACTCGTCATTCAGTGCTCAAGCCAATCTAAATTTAAGAGTCACAGAATGCCCCAGTACCGGTTCGAGTACCAACCCCAGGTCTCTGGATCCAACTGTCGTCAGAAACCCCGGGGATAGCGGGCCAGCGCAAGCCACCGCGGCCACTTGCTATGAAAGTTAATATGGAAGAGAACAAACCCGACCAGCCATGCTGCAAGGGGGACAGCACATTCAAGGGCCACCGAGGACGCTTCAATCTCCTGCTGGTGCCATTTTTCCCCCAATCGGACAATCGCAGCGGGAGTTAGCCCTCCTATCAAATCGCCCGATCACCATAACTGCCATCATGAGCTTGGCTGTTGCTCCACGCTTTCTCCACACTCTCCGCATCGGCTGTTTTCATTTCCCCGGATAGATTCATGCCAGGGAGACGCTTCCCCGCCTTGAGAGAGCCAGTGATGCAACGGGCCTGTGCACACCCGGGGAAAATCTGGGAATATATAAACGCAACGCGGGCGGAGAATGGTTTGGCACAGCGGCCAGGGTTCTCGTTAAACCTTTTCCCTCTACCTCTCCCAATTATTATTTCCCCGCGCTATCAGTTCAAAATGAAAACCTCGTATCTTCTTAGCCAGGCGCTCAGCCTTCTTGCGCTGGGCGCAACAGTGGAAGGCTTCAACCGCGACAGAAACCAAGCCTGCGGGCCCCACAAGCCCTTCCAGCCTCTGCCAACGAGCAAATCCAGAACTAAGACTTGCCATGTTCGCACTCATGGGGACGGATCCGACGATTCGGCGTACATTGTTTCTGCCATCAAGCAATGCAACAATGGAGGAAAGGTTGTCTTCGACGCCGACAAGGAATACATCATTGGCACGGCACTGGATCTCACTTTCCTGAAGCACATCGATCTTGGTGAGTTGATGCTGATCTTTCTCATTTCTACCTGACTTCTTTCTCTTCTGTATTTAGTCCATGTCATGCTGACTATTTCTGACCTGGCCAACAGATATCGAGGGCACAATCCAATTCACCAACGACACCGATTACTGGCAAGCGAACGCCTTTCAACAGGTCTTCCAGAATGCAACGACCTTCTTCCAGCTCGGTGGTGAGGACGTGAACGTCTATGGAGGCGGCACTCTGGACGGCAATGGTCAAGTCTGGTACGATCTGTACGCAGAGGACGCCCTTATCCTCCGTCCCATCCTGTTTGGCATTATCGGTCTGAATGGGGGCACCATTGGCCCGCTGAACCTGCGCTACTCCCCGCAATGGTACAACCTTATCGCCAACTCGACGAACGTTCTCTACGACGGCATCAACATTTCTGGATATTCCAAGAACCCGTCCGTGACTGCTAAGAACACGGATGGTTGGTACGTTGCTCTTCTTCCCCGTTGAGTTCTGCAGCAGAGGGTGTCGGCTAACGCTTGTCCTTCTAGGGATACCTACCGGTCCTCGAACATCGTGATCCAAAACTCTGTGATCAATAATGGCGATGGTACGTCATAAAACCCCCTGTGGAAAACTGATCCATGTTACATAGCCTCTAACAAAGATTGTATTGCTAGACTGTGTCTCGTTCAAGCCGAACAGCACTGACATCCTGGTGCAAAACCTCCACTGCAACGGCTCGCACGGTATCTCGGTGGGATCTCTCGGACAATACCTTGGCGAAGTCGACATTGTACAGGACATTCTCGTCTACAACATCTCCATGTACAATGCCTCGGTAAGTGAAGGGCTCACAACGCACCCACTGAACCAACCCGGTACTAGTATTGACGCGTGGATAGGATATGGCTCGCATCAAGGTCTGGCCCGGGGTCTCATCCGCTCTCTCCGAGGACCTCCAGGGCGGCGGTGGCAGCGGCCGCGTGCAGAACGTCACCTATGACACCGCCTACATCGACAACGTCGACTGGGCGATCGAAGTGACCCAATGCTACGGCCAGAGCAATCTGACTCTGTGTAACGAATACCCGGTGCGTATATCAGAGCTCAAAGCCCCGGCTGGAAGTGGCCTCCAATACTAATGTGTCATGGTAAACCAACAGAGCAGTCTCACCATCTCCGACGTCTGGTTCAAGAACTTCCGCGGCAAGACCTCTGGAAAGGAGAATCCTTATGTTGGAACCCTGGTCTGCTCGAGCCCCGAGGTAAGTGTCTAGCTTTACTGCAATCGAGCCACAAGAACACAAAAGCTGACTCGTGTCTCGATAGGTGTGCTCAAACATCTACACCGACAATATCAACGTCGTCAGCCCCAAGGGCACCAACGACTTTGTCTGCAATAATGTAAGTTGATTGCTCCCGAGTTGTACCTGGCTCGATCTTGTCGCTAATGCTGGGTTAGGTGGATACCTCGGACCTGAGCGTCAACTGCACGGCGACTTCGAGCTAGATGACCCGAGTTTGTTTGACCAACTGTACATATTGAGCCGGTTCGATAGCTGATAGAGAAATGTGTATGCTGAATGAATGCTATAGTTTGGTGTCCGGCCACCCAAGCAGAAGGCTCCCTGTACATGCACCTTCAAGACTATACGTATCCCAATTTCTACACTAAACTCGTACCAAACACTCTTCCAAGAACGCATCCACCGGTGTCACATCCCCCAGCGTAGCCACCACCCCCACGTACCCGTCCGGCCGAACCACGGCCACCGCCCCATGCGCCGGATCCACCCCGTAGATGGTATATACATCATCCAGTTCATAGCCACTGTAGAACCGCATCTCGGAATGCCGCTTCAGCTCCTCGGGCGTATCCCGCCACGTGAAGTCCCGGGATAGGCGCGGGTGGATGACGACTTGCTCAATCGCGGAGGTTGGGTACTTGGGGAGGACCTGCGAGCCGAGGACCCGTAGAGTTTGTGCGGAAGTGCCTTTGGGGTTGAGAAGGTCGACAGAGGTTAGGACGAGGAGGCGGAAGCGGCCGGTCGAGAGGAAGTCTGGCTTGGAGTTAGTTTTGAGGGGATATGAGGATTGGCAGGCAGGGCAGGAGTGGGGTGTGTTAGGCGTAGGCGTTATATGGTGTATTGCTTCACGATGAGTGAGGGAGAGAACGACTCACCATCATGCAAGTTTCGTCTGTTTCCATCTGCGTGACGCTTGTAAGTCACGTTTAGTAGTCTTCGGCCGGGGCGCAGAATGCCGCTAAGGTAGTCGGTGCCTTGGATCGGGTTTCTAGGAGTGGTAGCTGCAGCTGCAGCTATGGTACTTTTTGGTTTTGTTTGTTGTTGCTGTTGCTGTTGTTGTACGATCAGGCTCTCCGGATATTCAATTCCACAACCGCTGGTGAAGCCGTTGCCTGTGCTGAAGACCTCGAGGAACTGGTCGTGGGTAAGTCCGGGGAGGCTGTCTTCGCCGTTGCCTATCTTGCCGGAGAACATGGAGGAGAAGGCGCGGTCGAACTCGATGAGCTGGTGAGCGATGGTGTGGCGTTCTGAGTGGTAGGTTGCGAGGATGGGATCTGGAGCTGGGGGGTTTGTTGAGCCCGGGGTGAGCCCGTTGACCACGTAGGCGAGTTTCCAGGCAAGGTTGTATGAGTCCATCATCGAGACATTCATGCCTTGGCCAGCCTAATTCGTGTTGCCTGTCAATTGACGGGGAAGCTCCGTGCAGGGGTTTTGATACGTACCTTTGGGCTGTGTGTATGACAGGCTGCAGAGTAGGAGAGTTGGTTGTTTGGTTAGTTTGCCGGAGAAGCCTGAGGTTGCTATGGGTAAAGAGAGGACGTACCATCTCCCACAATGAACACCCGCTCGATTCCCTTGGAATCCTTGACAGTGAACCGATCTGAGACTCGTTGACCGATCTGGTACGCCGCCCACCAGTCTACTGCCCCGCCCTTCTTTGGCTGGATGTAGTATGGCTGGAATGCATCGGCCGCATGTTGAAAGATGCTTTCTAAAGTCACTTTGCTTCTGCGAGCTCGCGCATCTTCCTTCGCGGCTGCCTCATTTACCGGCTGCTGGTTCTCATCAACATCCTCATCCTCTGGGGCCCCTTCCTCAGGGACCTGCACATACAGGCGAGTCAGGTAATCCCCCGTCGCGATCCGCTCGCGCGGAATGACCATCACTGACCCCGCCGGCGAATGAATAGCACACCGTCGCCGGATGTCCGGGAAATCCGTGTCAACCACCAGGTCAACGACACCCCAGATATGATCCAGCGACTCGCCGACCAACTGCAGGCCCATGCACCGGCGCACCATCGAGTGCGCCCCATCCGCCCCGACCAAGTACTTTGACCGTACCGTACGCCGCTCACCGTTGGTCTCTAGTTCGGCAACCACGGGGAACACCGCATCAGCGTCGTCAATTTTGACATGAACAAGCCGGGTGTTCCGTTGTACCCCGCGAGACGAATACCGTAGTAGGTCGGTCTCGAGGATGCGCTCGATGCGACCCTGGTGGATGGTGACCTCGTGGCGATAGCGCGCCGGCACGGCGACATCGGGCACGATGGCTGTGCGCTCGATGATCTCGTCCGGGTTGGCGGACGGGTTCCAGAAGGCCACTTCCTCCATGTGGCAGCCGTCAGTGAGGATCTCGTCCGCGAGTCCCAGGCTCTTGAAGACCTCTAGGGTGCGCGGCTGCAGGCCGTCCGCCTGGCCGGATTTCAGGGTGCCTGGTTTGGCGTCAACGCAGAGAAGTGACTCGTCGCTGAGGCCGTATCGGGCGAGCAGAAGGTTTAACATGAGCCCGGCGGGTCCGGCGCCGACGATAACTACTTCATACCTATCCGGGTTTTGTTGGTGAGAGAAAGGGGCATTCAGGCGGGGGAGTGGCGGGGCAAAAGAGGGTAGAACACGAAGCTCACGCGTGGAGGCGGTGGATTCAGTGAAAACAGGCATGAAGAATAAGGTGTGTGTGCTATGAGCTCTTGAGCTTGAACATAGGCTATCTGAGTTACTTTGCAAAGGTCTACGCAGATACTGACGAAGGTATTATATAGGTTGACTTGGAAGGTGCACCCACCCAGACCCAGACTTCAGGCGGAGACAGAAGCGAAGCCCACTCTGGGGTCACCCATTGTTGTCCCAAAGAAGAAAGTTCCTACCCCATCGATAAGTCCACAAGTGAATCGTGATTGGCCTAGATCATAATTAGGGTATGCGAGTGGGGGGTTATGGAGCCCTCTGGGGCGCTGACTGAGGATTACTTGTCCCTCACTAATCCGCCCTTGATCGTCCTTACATGGCTCACTTGGTCTTCCTCGGTACCTGAACAGCCCGATCGCCTTCCATTTGTATGGCATTCAGAACGTCACAGTTGATGATCATGTTCATACAGATGTTCTTCATCAACAACGGAGTTTCGATAATCAATGATTGACATCAGAAAACTGTTCCATTGTCTGGACGCAAGACTTTAAAGTCAGCAACCGGCCCCGTGAAATGCATTCCTGGCATCGATGCAGCTCATGTTCCGCGCAGTTAGCCTGAGATCGGTGGCTGAATTACTCAATGCTTACTGAGTTCCAACCACGCGGGGATAACCTACTGACAATTCAGGGTACGGACATTCAATGCCACCACGTATGGTGTTCATACTTACCGGTATTCGTGTACTGCAAACCGGGAACGCGTCACGACCGCTGTAAGGTATCGAGTCAACACACTATACGCCGGAGTATACTTCCATCTTTCTACAGGGCAAATATTCGTTCACGTCACAACCACTAGAACAAATTGGTGCCATAGCTGCAGCCGGTTTCTCCGCGCATTTCGGTGAAGCCGCCAAGTCTTGAGAGAAGGTCCGGCGGGGTAAAACTGGGGACGTTGGGACAAAATTACGGGGTAAGCTTGCGCCGGCACTGGATAATGCTTGGTCCTGCAAGGCAGAGACGGCTTTACGGAAATACGGATAGCGAAGGATCATGATCAGGTTGATCTTCGCCGTGCTGGATTCACTGCCGGGAATCCCCCATTCCATGCAGGACACTGCATCTTCAGATCCAATCAATTGCTTCTCTACCATACGCTGGGGGTTTCCCGAGGCATACTCCAGACTTTAATTAGCGTCTGTCGGATCCGTCATCGCTTGAGAACCACAACTGTACGAATCCCCACATTGTGAAATGGCTGATTCATGACCATTGTTCCAATGCTGATAATATTCCCATGAAGAGACAGTCTCCCAACTAGCTTGATATGGTCTAGAACGCAAGCAAGAAGGTATTTACCAGGGTCACTGCTCTCCCAGTCCGGGAAAGAAGCCAACTCATCGACAAGCCCTATCTTCCACACATTATGCCCACTATCTCGTTATCCGATTCTGTATGAGGCGGGTTGATTGGTTCCACGGATATACAAGATAATGGACACCGTGTGCGGGGATCCCTGTCAATCGTTCTACATTTTATGATTACCAAGCGCCATCATTTGTCTGTCTCGCAAACCAGTCCACAACCCCCACCCTCCGAATGTGAAGCTCGGTTATCTTTGGCGGGGGAACGGGAGGTGGGTCTTACTGGTCGAACGTCGTGATTTCCATTGCACGCGGCGAAAGATCGCAGAAAGTCCGGTTTACCCACCCATTCAGAGACCTACGTATAGTAGGTGCTAAATCTCCCCCCCCCCGGTTCCAACTGACAGGCCGTCGACCGTCTTCAACAGAGCTAAGAGATGCTGGCAGGGAGGGGGGATTCCCGTGAGCTAAGTGGGTATAGCCCTGCCTATCTCACTCCTTCCCAGTCGGGGCTAATATGTTTGAGCCAACGGTGTAACGCAAACAATCTACGATAGCGTCAGTCCGTGTTACCACCCTAGGGAAAAAGAGGGGGTTCATCACTTATTTTAGCTCTCGTGGAGACGAAACCCCTCCCCGGCTAAGAGAGAGCAGGCTCCGCTTTGCTTGAAGCGACCGTTGGTCTCATGATTGGGGCAATAAATAGGCATAGGCCGAGCTCCGTGCTTCCCACTTGGCTTCCTCGCAGAATAAATTCATGTCGCACACGTTTTCTTAGCCTCAATGTCCGCAATGATCCAACGATGGTCGCAACTCTTCGGATTTACTTCCCACAGCAGTGCTGCTGCGGCGTCTCCAGCCAATGATTGGATTGTCCAAGAGCGAGCTGTTGATGACTACCGCCCGCTGAGGGTCGTTGTGATCGGTTCAGGTATTTCTGGGATCATCTCTTCAATCCGACTTCGGCAACGGATTCAGAATCTGGATCTCTGCGTTTACGAGAAGAATACGGATATTGGTGGCACTTGGCTGGAGAACAGATACCCGGGCTGTGCATGTGGCAAGTACTCCTGCCATTCCGTTGATAGATACACCAACAGGCAGTCTGCTAACACACTGACTTTGCAGATGTTCCGGCTCACACATACCAGGCTACCTTTGAACCCAACAAAGAATGGTCTGCCTTCTATGCCGCAGCCCCCGAGATTCACAAGTATTGGACGCGGGTGGCAGAAAAGTATGGCTGTATGGAGCATATCAGGTTTGAACAGCAAGTCATTGAGGCCTCGTGGGACGATGCTACAAGCAAGTGGAATCTGCTGGTCAAAAATCTTGCTAGTGGGTCGACCTACCAAGATCGATGTGATGTGCTCATATCGGCTACGGGGGCTTTGAACGACTGGAAGTGGCCGAGTATTCCGGGCCTCCATGACTTCAAGGGAAAATTGATGCATAGTGCTGACTGGAACGAGTCATATGACTATAGCGTGAGTTGAACCCGGTTTTTTTTTGTGGCCAAAGGACTGGTGCCTAACGTCCGACCAGAACCAGAAAGTGGCTGTGATTGGGAACGGATCGAGTGGCATTCAAATCGTTCCCGGCATGCTGCCGAAAGTGGCGCATATTGATCATTATATCAGAGGTCGCACTTGGCTGTCACCTACCTTCGCCAGGAATCAGATCGATAAGCGTGGCACTGAACTCGAAAACTGTAAGATTGCGTTAGCTTTGAGAGAGGATTCCTGGTTGACCTGTCAATCATAGTTTCCTTCTCTCCAGAGGAGATTGCAACATTCAAGACGGACCACAACGCCTACCAGAAGTTCCGCAAAGGTAAAATTTCATGCTAGCCTTTCTGTGTTTTACCTCGGCAGCTGCTTACGACATCAGAGATCGAGCTTGAACTGCAGTCTATCCATGGTGCAACCCTTCTGGGAACCCCTGAGCAGCTAGGTTCTGAAAGTGTCTTCACACAAAATATGAAACGACGCTTGCAACGTAAACCGGAGCTCCTTGAGAACCTTCTTCCCTCATTTCCTCCTGCCTGCCGCCGTCTGACCCCAGGTCCTGGCTATCTGGAGGCCTTGACAAATGAAAAGGTTGACGTTATTTCGAGCGAAATTGTCAAAGTGGATTCGACTGGTATCATCACAGCAGACGGTGTGCATCATCCTACCGATGTTTTGGTATGCGCCACGGGGTTCGACACCACGTTCACACCCCGGTTTCCCATCACTGGGCGCGATGGATTGTCTTTATCCCAGCGCTGGGAGAAAACGCCCGAGACTTACCTATCTTTGGCAGTGAATGGGTTCCCCAATTACTTTGTCTGTCTTGGCCCGAATGCAGCCCTGGGTGAGGGAAATCTGCTGCTTCTGATAGAGAAAGAGATCGATTACTTCACGTGCTGCCTACAGAAGATGCAACGTGACAACATCCGCGCAATGTGTGTCCGGAAAGAAGCCGTGGCGCAGTTTACTCGGCACTGCGACCAGTATTTCTCACGCACCGTGTTTAGTTCGAGCTGCCGCAGCTGGTATAAAGGGGGGCGAGAGAACGGACGAGTGACGGCACTGTGGCCTGGTAAATTCCTTTCTTTTTTTCCGGAGTTTGTGATTCGTGCGCATTTTCTTACCGATTCAGGTTCGTCGCTCCATGCTATGAAGACGCTCGCGCATCCACGTTGGGAGGATTACACGTATGACTATGTGGACAACAACTCGAATGGCTGGATAGGCGACGGGTGGACCATGAATGAGAAGAACAAGGTTGTCAATGTCGACTATCTCGACGACGACCAGTTGGACTTCCCTCCAGTTGCCTGTGTGATGGGCAATCAATAGACGTTAGAGGAGGGGGAGAGAGGGGGCGGGGGGGGCGGGGGGGGCGGGCTTGACTTCGGGAGTGGCTGGTTTCTGTCCCCGTGCGACTCTGCTGTTTTGTTTTTCCTTTCTATGGAAATCTGATAACCTATGATGACATTCTAGCTTCCTGTCACAATTTAGATCCGTCTTTAGTTAATATAACCAGAGATCTCCAGCCTACCGGATGATCCGAATGTGTTGTACACGTTGAACGTGAGTTCGAGAGCTGGGGGGGAGCAACGGCGGCCCAGGTTTGGTTAGACTTTGGTGGCGTTTGTACCAAACAAGTAGCCAGAGGTACAACAACGGGCAGCCCTGCTTCTGAAGAGTAGAGTTGAGATGATTACCAAGGTTGGCAGTGGAAATGGGACGTCACTCATGGAAGGTGGGATTAGGAGGAATTGAGGAAGGGGGGGGAGGGAACCGGGGAAGGTGAACAATGCGAGCGAAGACAAGAGAGAATTAAGGAAATAAGGTTTCCCTGCGTAAACGTCGAGGCTTAATTGTCGGTCTCATTGTAGGATTGTCAGCTTTTCCCAGTCCGAGTGGAAGAACGTTGTGGGGATGCAAAAGTGCCAGTCAGTGCCAGTCAACTGCAGTGGGCGGGACTGGGAACCAAAACGGTCTAGCGTGTGCAGGCGAACTAGCGACTTTATCGAGCGCGGGAAGGAATTTGAAGAATCGACGTGACGGAAGCCCCTCCAGCTCCAGCCACTGGCAGCCTTGAGCCTGGAGCAGCAGAATTACCTACTAGACTAGAGCTGCAGAAACGAACAAGTACTCCATCACCATCACCACCACCACCACCACCACCACCACCACTGGGCACCAGCAGTCAATCAGTCAATAATAATCCACCTCTCCAGAATCCAACCTGTCTGTCAACCAAGACTGTTTCTTTTTGAAAGATCCATCCTTCTCTCTCTTGTTCTTCTCTTCCAATCGTACTTGTTTCATGATGACTGAACCTGTCTCAATATTTGCTTCATTCTAGACATCCATCCATTCTCCTTTCAATCATCTCCACTCCCTTCAAACTACTACTTCACACGTGTCGTTCCCGTTTGGATTGAACGGGCTTCTTGCGCGCTTTTACCGGCACCGCGGACGTCTCCACTGCCTGCATCATCACCTTCAGCTCCATCCGAGTTTCCACCGCCCGCTCCCGATCTGCCCTTGGCCCCGATCCCCCCCCTCCCCCGTATCCCTCCCCTCCTTTACCCCATATTTCCACCTTCATTTACCCCCTCCAAAGGCTCAAACCCTTCCATTTCTCCTCGATGCGCACCAGTTCCTTACCATGAAGTCTGCTTCAAGCAAGCATTTCTGTTGTACCATCTGCCAGCGAGGTTTCACGCGCATTGACCATCTCAAACGCCATCACCTCCGACGTAAGTCCAATCACTCCCTTGTTCCCACCGCCCCCCTTCTCCCCCGGTCATTGCTTGTCTCTGGGCCCGTTCCCTCACACCACAGCTCACTGATTCTGGACGAACTCTTGGGTTTCCGATAGACTCCGGTGTCAAGCCTTACTCATGCATTTTCTGCAATGAGTCGTTCGCGCGCTGGTGCGTATGTCCCGGGGCGCTGTAACCGAGCCAGTCCCTCATACCCCGCGTCTTACGGATACCGTGTGCTTTGATGCTGACAGCCACGCGTTCTTTCATAGTGATAATCTTCGCGACCACTATACGGATTGCGACAAGCGCGGGGACCAGAAGATCCCGGAAACGGGGCAGAGGGGCAGGCGACGACATGCCTGCCAGTCGGCAAGTCACTTCTCTCCTTACCTTTCCTGCCGTCTGCTTCTGGAGCGTCTCAGCCCATGGTTTCTAATTCAAGTTCTGTCTCCTTAGTGCACGTCAATGAAGCTGCGATGCGACGGGCAAAGTCCTTGTGGTTCCTGCCAGAAGAGAAATCTTCCGTGCAACAACGAGCGTAAAAAGCAGACCACTGGTCTCGAGCTGGACACAGGCGCAAAATCGACCAATCGCGATGACTACGTCGGTACCTCCGATCGCGGATCGATCAGCTTTCTCCTGAATGGTGGCTCCGATAGCTTTACCGAAGAGTTTCGGCTCCCTCCTTGCAGCGATCGCAGTCGGGGCATGAAATATCATACCCAGATGGGGCTGAAGGAAGCAAGGTCTACCATGCTCGACTACCAGATGGAGCTTGATCAGTTGGATATCGCACCGGCATTCATCGAAGCCGATCCTGCGGCACGCTCCTTTTTCCATGATAACTTTCTTGACTTCTTCAACGGTCCGTTCGAAGGCCCACCGAAGCTCATGGGCACGTCTCCGTATAGTGCAGGGTCTGAATTTAGCGCGAGCCTCCCGCAAGGCCAGTTTAGCGTGACGCATCCCAGCGAACAGCCGTATGGACCGGAGCAGCCCTATGCCGCTGCACTCTCGCAAGCGATCCTATCACGAGCCTGGGCCGTTCCCTTGGATGCTAACGCGAAGCAGCGATTGGCCGCTAATGCTAGCTTTTTGTTGACTACCGCGCGCATCCAGAAGTTTGTGTGGATGTATGCCAGATACTGGCATCCGAGTTGTGCCATGGTCCACCTTGCGTCGCTGCAGTTGAATACTGTTCCGTTGCCTTTATTGGCAGGATTGGTATTCATGGGTGCCATGTACTCAAACGATGAACAGGAAACATATGCTGCCAAGCAACTGCTGGACTTTGTGGAGCTTTACATTTTCTCGACCGAGGTTTTCTCCCCGGAAAGCGATATCGCTTCCATGTTCTGCAAGGGAAGGACCAACTTCCCTCCTAAGGGAGACGATTGGGTCCAGTTCCTGAACTTCCAAGCCGGCTTCATAATTTGTATTGTGCAATACTGGTCAGGCTCTCGCATGTCGCACAATCGCGCCATGGAGAATCGGTTTAGTGAAATCACCAAGGTATTTCTTTAACCGGCCTATGGCGTGGGGAGTGGGCAACTAACTGAATCGAGAAGGTCGCTCGTCGAATGAACCTTACCAAGTGTCGCCACCAACACCCCGACGTTACTTCAGAGCAGCAATGGATTCAGACGGAGTGTCGCATCCGGTAATTGTCTCATACAAAGTGCTATATCGTGACCACTCGCTAATCATGATAGAACCATTTCCATCATCTCTCTTCTCGACTGTGCCTTTTGCTTCTTCCAGAACTACCCATGTCGCTTGTCGCATGTGGAAATGGATTGTGATTTCCCCTGCCCAGAGGCACTTTTCAATCTAGAACATCCATACACAGACATAGGATTTCATTATTCTCGAGGCTTCACCATCAAAGAAGCCTTTCAAAGTCTGTTCGACGGATCGAACGCCCCGAACATGTCATTCCCTCTCTCTCCAGATTCTTCGACGAATCCCAGTGGTATACTTCCAAACGTGAACATCCTTGACATGTTCATACTCATCCACCGTACGTAAATATCACTATTCAACGCGACATTGCTTCGACTGCTAATGCCATCACAGTCCTTTACGCCTTCATAAATACCTATATGACTCTTGCTTCCGTCACGCGTTCCAATCAGCCCCCAGTTCAGTCCCCGCCCCAACCCAACCAGCCTTCAGATCCTACTTCGCCCGACAAACCCCGGCCACAGAATACGCCGGAAGTCTCTGTGCTGGGTTCTATTCGCCTCGCATTAGCCCGCTGGCGCGAACACTGGCTAACACTGCAAAGTGCCGTATCCAACCACGAATGGGCGTCCATGGGATTTTACAAAAACGGCTATAACTTCTGGCTGGTGTGCCACCTGCTCATCACTAGGAAGGAAAGCATGGACGTGGTCATGCGGCTAGAGGTGAAGTGCGAGGACAAGCTGGAGAAGTTGAAGGTGCTGCTGAATGATGACAAGGATTGACCTGAGCCTGGGAGCAATGCATGTCTGTATGGCCTAGAGTACTTGCTTATGAAAGGGGTTGTGAACCTTATCTGTTTTACTGTATGTATTAGTACGGCGTTTGTGGGTTTGCACTCATGCTTGGGAGGTGGTCATGGGATACTTGTAGGTAGTTTGGAGTTCCGTGGGTACTTTTGGGCGAAAATCATAGGACTCGGAGGTTTGTATATTAGCAATCGGCTTAGCGAGTTTATATATCTAGGAGAAACCCTCACGGGGGACATTTCGAAACAACACTTACTACTGCAAGTGGACTTTACCTGGTGACAGCTCCGGTAGATAACTATATTTAAGCAGAGCCAACTTTCAGTCAGATCTTAGTCAGCTGAGGCGGCCTTCCGCTCCCTCCCTCTTTTTCCATCGGCATTTATCTCTCCTCTTACATCTTTTCTTGTCAACTCACCATGTTTCCTACAGATACATTACACCTGGGATTACACCCGTCATGCAAACTGCGAAGGCCACGGGCGAAGATGAACCTCGATGCGAGGCATTCATCAGATCAATATCATCAAGGAGAGAATGCCAAGCGTGGCTTGACAAATAACTTGCCGCGTCTCGAGTTGGAAATGGATTCCGAGTGGTCAAGTGTCCGAAAAGATGAAGATCCACCAACTATATGAGTACTAGTACTACGGAGTAGTGACACTAAGTAACTGCACTTTCCGCCTTTCTCTCGCAGCGCAGCCTCGCAAGTAGAAATGGGCCTCGGGGACGAATTATCGTCAACCTAACCACGATAGTATTGCGATCGTCTCAGATCCACTCTCCTGAGGAGCCAGGACCGACAACCACTTAATCGAGTCTCCATCCATCAAGTTTTTGTTGAACGGACCGGTCCGTTGTGATCCTTCGTCCCTCCCCCCCTCTTTCACAAATCGAAAGAAATGTATCATCTCGAGAGCAACGAAGCCCAAGCCATTTTTCCTTACAAGCGACGTCGGTCAGGCGGCACACGGTCGCGCACGGGCTGTCGAACTTGCCGGTAAGGGTCCCCTCGCTAGCGGCCGTTATGAGCATGAAATATGATCGGATCAAAACTGATCGGATGGCAAGCGCACGTCGGGTCAAATGCGACGAGACCCCTGGCCATTGTTACAACTGCACCGCCACAGGCAGAACATGCGAGGGCTACGACCCATCCCCATTACCTCGCCCAAACAACGCCCAACGGCAGCGGGTCCTATCTCCCCAGCTGCCGTTAGCGGTTACCACCACGATCCGCTGCATCACCACCGCCGATGAACGACGCTGTTTCGCATTCTTTCAAAGACGCACAATCCCGGATATCCTGGGGGCATTTGATTCCCCGTTATGGCACCATTTAGTGCTGCAAATGGCACAGCTGGATCCGGCGGTCTGTCACGCTACGATGGCGCTGGCGGCTGCCCATCAGGAGTGCCAGCTCACCGGCATGGGGCTGCGCCCGCAGAAACAGCAGAGTCCGTGGAACTTATTCGCTTCCGATCAGGCGGCGCGCTCTTTTGCCCTGCTCAGGCAGCGGAACCCCCAGGACCCACTGTTGCCGCAGGTGGTACTGCTTTGCTGTATCCTCTTTGTCATGTTGGATTTGGTGTGGAGGGAGTTCGACGCAGCCTTCCTGCACCTGCAGAGTGGCCTGCGCATTCTGAATGAGCTTCATCGCCAGGGTAAGCCGGTGTTCCGGAACCGACAGGGATCGCCCGTCGATTGGCACATCGTCACTGCTTTGCAACATCTGGACATACAGTCGACACAATTCGGCTGCGAGGCGCCGTTCCTTGCGATTCGGGAAGAGGCTCGATTGGATTCGACTGCAGCCCAGTGGCAAACAATTCAGAGCGTTGCAGAAGGACGCAGGGCACTTGATCCCCTCACGACACTGACGCATGATTACATGAGGCGGGCCTGGCCGTCTGATAAAGAGCACGATCCCGTTCTCTATGCCTTGTTGTATCACGAGCAGTTGACACTCCTCGCGCTGGTGGATCAAGCTCAGCGGGCCATGCGGGACTTTCGTCTCCGACATTACGCCTCTCTTGGGCTCAGGGACCAGGTGGGGGCCGACATACTAAAGGTCAATATCCATTGGCTCTGTTTGGGTCTGCGTACGACCTTCCCGCTCCCTGAATCTGCATACACGGAAAGCATTGCTTCTGAATGCCGACAAATCCTCACAACATCCGAAGTGATTATCGCAAAACTTGGCCCCCAACGCCCGGCAATCATGTTCGACAACGGGATTATCTCGCCCTTATTCTTGGTGGCCGTCTTATCGCCAGACTTCCGCGACCGTTGGCGAGCCATCATGGCTCTTCATACCTGGCCGCACTGCGAGGGGCCGTATAGCTCGGCGTTTCACGCCCATCTAGCCGAAAAGATGCTGGAGGGCGATCTGCGAGCTCGAATTCGGGCCGAGCTGACCACCACTTTGAACGAATTGCCGGACCAGCAGCTCTTCGAGGACCAGCTGAGCGAACGATTAACGAGGATCACGGGCCGTTCGACTTTCAAGAATGATGAGGAGCTAGAGCGGTATCTGCATGATCTTACTCAGCCAATGGCCCGGTGGCCGTGCGCTCTTCTCTTGGTCCGGGCTGGAGTACTTCCCGACAGACCAGTGGTGCCATGAAAGTGATAGTGGTCGACCCCATACGGCTCCTTGGGTCGAATAACACCAGGTTCCGATTACTTAATCAGCAATGAAACGAGCGGTCTTGCTCGGCATCACGTCGGGATCCGCAATCTCGAGGTTTTAGCCCAGGGTTCGGGAAATGGTATGCCGTTGTGACAGCCCGTGCATCAACACCAACAGGTAAAGAATTACACACACGAGTCAATACAGTCCCCTTTCACCATCCTGTGAGCCGGGTAGCAGCCAATCTGACGCGTGCCATAGAGGCAGCCCCGGGGTGGGAAATACAAAATTCCAATACCTAATCACATGATCGGCATGTAAACGAGCAGTCTTTCCAGCCAGGAATTGGGATCCGATCTCGAGGATTGTTCCAGGTTCGGGGGATTGGAACAGAATACTAAGCTGGCAAAATTGGAAATGGTGGCCGAAACCCCCAGAAACAGGCTTTACTCAATTGTGCTAGCCAAGACTTCTACTTTTCTCTCTATAGAGCATGATATCCGACACCAAGTGCCGAGTCTGCTGTCCGTTGAAGAACGAACCCTCCCCCGCCAAAAGCCACACAATCCCACCTAGTCCATTTGCAACGGGACCAGAATGCAAGCCAGGGGGGTCGCGTGTTTGTGGGTCGGCGGCCACTTGCAGGAGAGGGAGCTTATGGAAAAGCCATATCGATTGGCGCAAGCTTGTCTAGGTCATGGGGCTGATAGGAGCATGCTAGACGGAGGGGAGCAGTCTCGCTTGAGACAAAGATAAACAAATACGATGTGACAGAGGTCCGAAGTCCTGTACCAGTGTGGAGTAATAAGTAATATGGAGAAATTTCGGATGAGTGGATTGTCATGAGTATGCGCATGACAAGCGCAAGAAGAGCAAGATCAGGACAGAGCCTGGAGACTGTTCGTGTGGGGCAGAACACGGGGACTATCTCCCTTCTCCGCACCCCAGCTACAATTGGTCTCTTTTCCTTATTGACGTTCTTTCAGGCTAGATCATGCCCAACCGTTCGGCCCTACAGGACTCAGCAGGCAAGAGGCAAGCCCGCCAGCACATCCAAACTAGGTAGCGAGGAAGAGGTTCGTGCATGGATTCCAACGGTGGCTTCTTCCTCCCCGGGTTAATGACCAGTCACGGTGCTGCCTGTCTCCGATGCTCTGAAACCATGGAATGATCGATGCAAGGATTGATTGGTGTGGGTGTGTTGTGCAGAGAGTCAGATGGGGGGGAGGGAGCCTGGAGAGGACTCAGGGTTCCAAGATAGTCACCATTGGATGGAACAATCTTGGTGACTACTACGTACTGTACCTTAGTCCCGTTGTTCGGTTCCGTGAAATGCGGCGTGACTCGATGCGAGAAGCCGACCGAAATGACCTGGCAAGAGAATCCCCAGATGCGGATTTTGGGGGAAAGAGGGGATACACAATCATGACACCGCATCAGACCATTTTGCAGGGTGCTAGGTGCCAGCCAGGTGGTGGGTTCCAGGAGCAGTTCCGGGAACGAACCCGACTCCGAAATCACTCCCACCCTTACAAGGGAACTTCAAGCCAACAAGGAAGGGAGGAAGGACAAGTCTGGGGGCGGAAAGGAGCATAGTGTGTCTTGTATTGGTGTGTGTGTGTGGTTGTGTGTGCCACACGGCAAACCCCAGCCAAGACACGAGGTGGCGCGAAGACGCCCAATGAGGTGTGTTTCACGGCCTTGGGAGGGAAAATGGTCTTCGTATTCTGCTGGTAAGCGACTTATTTTGGCGCGGGAATACAAGTAGGTAGTACTACCTTAGCTTACAGCAATAATGAGTTCATATTGACTGTCATATTTTCCTTTGCTACCTAACGCAAAACACTCACCGGACCCGACCCATGGACTGGAAGTTTGAGAGAAAGTGCACGGGATTCAACTCCGATGTTCTTTCCCCCGCAATTTGAAAGGAACGGGGGAGGGACCAACAACAAACACCGGACACAACAAACCTGGGGAGGAGGAAGAGGGGGAAAAGTCGGGTGGTGGTGCCAAGGGGAAAAGCAGAGAGAAAAAAAAAAATTCAAAACTGCTGCGGCCTGCGGGTGCAACCTTTGTGATTGCCAAGTCTCTTGGCATGTCACCACCCCTCTCTTGCTCTCTCGCTTCTAGTCTGCTCCCCGCGGTGACCTGGACCCCTGTCAGTGGCAATACGTACCCTGCCCTCGTCTACCACCCCGGATCCTACTCTCACGATGCACCACGTCGGTCAGATCCGATGATCGATAATGACAAAGAAGGTAAACAATCAGAAGGCAAACTTAGAGTCCAAAGTCAAGAAATTACAGAAAGAATGATGGTAAGGTAAAGTCTAGTCTAGTGGTGGTCAGACTCCGCTGTCTTCCCTCTGGGCTGGGCTTGAGGTTGCAGTTTCCAGGGTCTGGGCATTTCGCTTACTTGAAAAAAAAAAGTTAAACCCCGGATTGGGACTCGTGATGGGAGCTGAGGGGGGAGAGAAGTCTGACTGTCTGAGACTAGAACCCCGGGCTGGAGCTGCAGTCGGTTAGCCCCGACCCAGCGTAGGCCTAACCTTAAAATCCAGCATTGTTCACCCAATCCTACCCGTGCCGGTGGAGACTCACATCCTTGACCTTCCCCCCAGACGGCACACGTGGTAGGGGAAAATTTCCGACCCCAGCTCGCTCCATCCAATCACCGCGGGGGTTCGTCAAGCGATGAGAGGGCCTTGGCCCGATTGGCTCGCCGGTTATGACCCGAGCCTTTCGTTGGTTGGAACTATAGAGTTGGGGGGACGGAGAGGGACTTGGAACAGACAGTGACTGACGGGACCAGAGAGTCAGCCAGCCCCGAGGCACCTCCCGCCTGGCACATGGTTGACGCCTTTTGACTGAATCGGGATCTTACCCCGTACTACTACCGACTACTACTCTATGCAAACACCTACTCTTCCTACCCGTGATTTAGTGAGCATACCCTGCATTTACCCCATAGATGAACGGGGTACTGTATGTAGTATCTCGCTGGTTGGGCTGATCTGGCTAGAACTAATCGGACTATGGTAGGTTGGCCTTAAACCAGTCGAACTAGTAACAACCATGCCATGAGGTGCTAGACTGTTTCTTACAGTCGTACCATGTGCGGCTGGAGGAAGGAAAAAAAGAAACAACCCCCCCCCCACATCGTACTCTACACTCTACAAAGTGGGTACGGAAACACAAACCCAGGGTTGGACTCCCTCGGCTCCAACCTGGACTCGGGAACTGTTGTCATTGAGAAAGGAATGCGAGGAGCACAATTCCCTAAGATCCAGCTAGTGAGGGTCTGCTCGGGCAGTCCTCGGAACGATGGCAAATCGCTGAAGATGGCGGCGTTGACCGAGCCAGAGTCCATTCCTAATCGGGGCAAGACGAAGGCAAAAAGAAGTCAAGTGAATGCAGTGGGCACTCACTCGCTGCATCCACCAGTCCCTCACGATCCCGATGGTTGGGGAAATCCCCGTGGGCAACTTCCTTCCACTTTCTCCCCCGGGTCCGGGTCTGGCCCGAATGCAAACTTCTTCCCCTCTTCCTCTTCTTGATCGGGGATCCAAATTATAAAATCGCCTGCAGCTCCCCCCCCCACCCACCGGTTTGTTTGTGCATCTTTCTCACCGCAACTCTCTTCCCTTTCTTCCTTCGACCTTCACACTCCTCATTTCTTGGTGTGTCTTCGTTTGACATCCTGTGCCATACTACTTCCCTTGCTGTGACTATCTCTCTGTCTATACCTTCCTGGTTTACTTAGAGCATCACATCCCCACCGCCTGCTCAACTCCTAGCAGTCATCATGGCTGACGGCACGGTGAACGGCCAGCGGGTCGAGGCCCCTGTCACCGTCAAGGCCTACTTGATGTGTGCCTTTGCTGCCTTCGGTGGTATCTTCTTCGGTTATGACTCCGGTTACATCAGTGGTGTCATGGGCATGCGCTACTTTATCGAACGCTTCGAGGGTCTGGTATGTGGTTCTGCCTCTGCAAATCCCCGTCCACTTCGACACGCGACACTAACCCCGGCTGGTTTAGGATTATGCTACTACTCCCACCGATAAATTCGTTTTGCCCTCCTGGAAGAAGTCTTTGATTACCTCGATTCTCTCTGCTGGAACCTTCTTTGGTGCTCTCATTGCTGGTGACTTGTCTGACTGGCTCGGTCGTCGGTTCACCATCATCAGCGGCTGTGGTATCTTCATTATCGGTGTCATCTTGCAGACAGCTTCCAGCAGTGTCGCTTTGCTGGTGGTAGGCCGTCTTGTTGCTGGTTTTGGTGTCGGTTTCGTTTCCGCCATCATCATCTTGTACATGTCCGAGATCGCCCCCCGCAAGGTTCGCGGTGCCATTGTGTCAGGATACCAGTTCTGTATCACCATCGGTCTCATGCTGGCTTCCTGTGTCGACTACGGCACGGAAAACCGTACCGACTCCGGCTCCTACCGTATTCCTATCGGTCTCCAGATCGCTTGGGCTTTGATTCTCGGCATCGGTCTTTTCTTCTTGCCTGAGTCGCCCCGTTACTTCGTCAAGAAGGGTGAGCTTCACAAGGCCGCTGAGGTCCTGGCACGGGTCCGCGGCCAGCCTCAGGAGTCCGACTACATCCGGGAGGAGCTTGCGGAGATTGTCGCCAATCACGAGTATGAGATGCAGGTTATCCCTCAGAGTGGTTATCTCAATAGCTGGTTGAACTGCTTCCGTGGTAGCCTCTGGACTCCCAACAGCAACCTTCGTCGGACTATTTTGGGTACCTCGCTGCAAATGATGCAACAGTAAGCTTTCCAGAACGCTTTGGATTATCTGACCCGCTCATACTGACTTGCTTAGGTGGACTGGTGTCAACTTCGTGTTCTATTTCGGAACTACCTTCTTCCAGTCGGTGAGCTTGCTCCTTTCCCTAACCATGAGCTTTTCTAACAGGGCCGATAGCTTGGAACCATTGACAACCCCTTCCTCATCAGCATGATCACGACTATTGTCAACGTCTGCTCTACCCCCATCGCCTTCTACACCATTGAACGCATCGGTCGCCGTCCACTTCTCCTGTGGGGTGCTCTGGGCATGGTCATCTGTCAATTCATCGTCGCTATCGTCGGTGTCACGGACGGTGGTAACAAGTCGGCCGTCAGTGCTATGATTTCGTTCATCTGTATCTACATCTTCTTCTTTGCCTCTACTTGGGGACCTGGTGCTTGGGTCGTGATCGGTGAGATCTTCCCTCTGCCCGTTCGGTCGCG